ATGACTTTTTTTAGACCCCTGTCTTCGTTTTGTTTTTCTATAACACCTGAGAAGTTTCATCCTGCTAAGACGTGGGGTAAGATTATCTGTTTTCCACAGCTCACCAGGTAGCTCTGAACTTGGAGCTCTAGGACCAAGAAATCTAGTAAGCATCACATCTGTGAGTAGCTGCTTCCCTAAAGGTGCTATTTTGGCTGAGCTTTTGTTGGGAAATAGGTCTGTTTTTTTATGCAATTGATTTGGATGGAAGAGGGGGCCTGTGGGGATCTCCAATAGAATGACTGCAAAGACCCAAGAGGATAGAATTCTCTGGGCAGGCTGTCAGTATTATCTCTCCCAAATGGCTATTTGAAAGCCCCTGGTGATACTAACCACTACTGAAAATTGTAGTTAGCTTTGAATTTCCAATGCAGTAGATAAAAACAAAGTTGAAGCTAACTTGTTTTGTTTTGTGTACCAGGAATCAAACTCACAACCTCGTACTTGGCAGGCAGGCATTTGTGCTGCTAAAGTAATTTCTTTTTTGACCCCTCTAACTTTTTATAGGTCAGATTTTCTAAAACATAGCAAAAATTATGACTCACTATTAAATTCTGGTGAAACACAGAGCTTGCAAACAAAAGCAAACTATTTGTATTAGCAAATGATGTAACTCTCCAAGCCTTTATGCCTAACCACAATGGAAATAGCTGGGCTAACTAGGAAGCACCTTGAGAATTGTTAAAGCTATTTCAGTTTAATGAAAGGAAACTCACACTGAGCACTCACTGTTTTCATTTGAACAAGACTCTTCTCATTCTAAGCAGTGGCAAAGAGATGGCAATTGATGGTTTCCATCCTGAGACACAGCTAATTAGTTCATTATTTTGGCTCATATTTACTATCGTCGAAGGATATCAGTTCACTACAACATGCCATGAGGGGGACCCTTAAAGGTCAGACCGTTACTAGGGAAAGAAATTAAAATTCAGCTTTGTGGTAGGGAATCTTTTGAATGATTAAGTCTGTACTTGAAACTTCCATTTATAAATGATAGCTTTTCTTTCTCCTGTTGTCAGCTTTCTCCCCTTCCCCCATTATCTTATGGTCCAGATGCACTAGTTATGGTTCATCTCATTTCATAATAACATATACATCACATTGGTGCACATAATCAAGTGGGCGCCTGCTGCACAAAGCCTGGCCAACAGCAGTCACTCAGCACCAACCAATGAAGGAGGAAGCATGATTTGATGGAAAATGGAAAGCTAAAGTCATTAGATAAGGGCAGAGAATTCAGAAGGGGTGATTTTTGATCAAGTTAGCAAAGTACCATTTGAGGCAAGCTTTTGGCACTTTCCTTTACCTGCCACAATCCTCTTTTTAAAAAGTATATATCAAGGAAATTTATTGATCTTTCTCAAACTTGTTATTTCCCAAGATTTTCAGGCTGAAATTACATTATTCTTGGTTCACTTCAATATAGAGCAAAAAGAAAGGATTTTTAGCTGATAAGTAGAAGTTGGTTCCCTTGGCCCTGGACTTCGGTGAGTATAAAGGAAGAAAGATTTTGTCCCAGCTGGTAGAAAGGTCCTGAGCATACAGTGCAAAGTGAACTTCACACCTTTGATAGAAGAAGGGAAGGGAGGCAGGTGGAGTAGTGTGCTTAGAGTTATCAGTGTCTCAGAACTTTTCATCCTGTTTCTCTTCATATTCTTTTACTTTTTCTGTATTCTACCAACAAAATTTTAGGTTGAAAATGACATAGAGTTTATGTAGAAACATATAATATAAGCTCATTAAAGTGCTACAAAGTACAAAATGCAGAGGTTTGAGCAACTCTCTTCAAGGCACATTGTTAAGATCCCTGTACTCTCTCTCCCCATCCCTTCTGTACACCACACGGCTGGAATAAAGCACAGAGCCTGAAGCAGAAGGTCTGGTGTCTGAATGATCTTTATATTTAGTCCCCGAGTCTACACTCCTCTGGCAGAGAATTCTCTCACCATAACAGCATTTTGAATACTATAATGTTGAAATCTGCAAATCCTAACCATGCAAGCATGGCTAAAGTACTCACGTTGCAGGCAGATTGCTTTTGAAATTTTCCTAAGTGTAACTTTTATTTAAAAACCTTCCTTTTATTTCTGGACAATGCATTACAAATGAATTTTTGTTTATTGGGTGCAACACCTGGTTCACATATCAGTTCAATAATGCTGATTTTGTGAACCGTAGACACTATAGATTGGTGAAAAACCTTTGGAAGTGGAAGGGTACTGGTTACATCACTTCTCCCTGTTCCGCGGCACCTAGACTGTGTCCATGCTCCTTAACCCCGTCTGCTGGGCTCTGCATGTGGCCCTTCCTGTGGCTTCAGTGTCATCTTTTACAGCTATCTTGTTCGTTTCTTCTCCCACCTCACCTTTTCCCTAGAAGTCTGACTCTTTTCTATCTTGTGGTCTTTATTGCCCCCTAGAACTTCCCATGGCTCACTTTCCTGATCTTCAGATTAAACACCACCTCCTCAGAAAGGCCTTCTCTCATCGCTTTTTGTAGCTCTTTCTTGTGCCACTTTTTCTTATTCATTTTGTATTTTTTGTGCCTGCCTTCCCTCAGAATATATGCTTCATGAGAACTGAGTCCTTCTCCTTATTTTAGTTACTTTTCTTGCTGCTGAGACAAAATAAACGATACCCAAAGTTAAAGGAGGAAAGGTTTATTTAGCTCACAGCTTGTTTAAATTTTAGTACATGATTGGCTGGCTCCAAGGCAGGATGCTATTGCAGAGAAGAAGTAATTCATGGCAGGAAAAAAGAAGCAAGCAGGAAACAAGTGAAGTTGCAGGTCCCTTTTTGTCCCTTCTGTTCCATCTAGGCTACCCACATTCTTAGAGTGGGTAGCGCCCACACATAGGGTGGGCTATCTTGTTACCCAAAACTCAGAGCTATCCCAAACCAACCAGTGAAATAATCACACATCCTTGATCCCAGCATTAAACACTGGATCCAGCCACCTCTGAAAGTCCCCATTTATGAGGCTTTGAGGGGACATCTAGACACAAAACATAACACTCCTCGTCTTTATTCTTATATTGCCATCATTTTGCATATTCAAGAGCTTACTCTATATTAATGAATGATTGAATAAACTGATTCAAAATGTTTATGTTCTAATCCATTTCTCCTATTATTTCGTTTTTAATTCTCAAAACTCTGTAGACTTTAGCATTGGTTTTTATAAAACAGAAAAAAAAATCTGAATCAGATTACTTAGGGTAGTTTAGTATCTGGCTTTGAATTTTTATATTGGGTGGACACCATCAAATCTGACTTGTTCTATTTTCATAAGAGACTTGAACCAAAAGTATATTGTAAAGTCTAATTGTAATACTTAGGTAAATAAACAGCTTCCAGTGACTGAATATTTGGCATAATTCTTGGAAAGATTTTGTTATTTATCATTCATTTAACAAATCATCTTTGAGAACCAGGATAGTATTAGTCTTTTTGGATACCCATGAACAAGAAAGAGCATCTCTGTCCTCAGGTTCTTAACTGCTCAAGGACAAGACAAAAGTTACAATAGGTAGTTTTAACAGAGTAATAAGTAAACTGATGGAGAAATGTGTGACTGTGCACTAGCAAAACATCTACTGCAAATGTGAGACATCAGGTAGACTCTCTTGTTACTCTGGTGGTTCCCAGTAAGACCAGGGCACATTGTTATTTATGTGAAAGTAAAGAGGAGGATTGAGGAACTCCAGGAAGAGGAAAGAAGATATTCTGATGGTGTGAGTGAGAGGAAGTATGACGTGTATCTGTAAGTTTTGATTTAGAGTGGCTGGATCCTGGGCTAAAGGAGAAGATGACAGAAGAGCAGCTGGGCCTTGTTGGACGCAATGCACTGGCAAAGCAAAGCGGTGGCCTTGAGAGGTTTGGCTCTTTGATTCCTGAAGAAGGAGGCCTTGAATTCCCAGAACAAGATCTAGAACAAGGACAATTGTTGGGTTTCTGCAGCTGTAAAATTATTTATCCTTCATAACATTATCTGTGTCACGGGTTTCTTTCAAAGATGCAGTGAATATTAATACTGCCTTGCTATTTAATTTGAATTTCATAATATTCTAGACATAACCACGTATCTAACTGGGATAATTCCAGTGGGACATTTGTAGAGAAGTCCAGTTTTTCCCCTTAAGGGACATAGAAAATAATGCTAGATAATACAGTGGATTTTCAAACTTTTCCACTTCACAATAAACCCTTATGTGTGTTCTGAAGTTGAACTTCTGGTATTCATGTGTCTTGTTCATTAGTTCTGTGACATTTCACTTTTATCCCACTTGATTTGATGTGTCAAGTTCCTTGGGTTCTCAGCCCATGTTTTCATGGAACTACAGATCAAGCAGCAGGCAATATAATGTGGAGAAAATGACATTTCAAAGATTTTCTTTTTGTTTAATTTTTTTTATATTAAAGATAATAAAACAAAGCAATAAAATGAAACAAAATAATGGGGTGCTGGATTTCAAAAACAAGACAGTAGGAAACCAATCGTAGTTACTATAAGGCACAGTTATCCTCTAAATAGATAATCAGACCACCAGACACAGCTATGCAAGGCAATCAAACAGCACATTAAACGGTGTAAGCACTAAGCTGTGTCTTTTCTTTAGTTGCTATCTTTTCAGAAATTTCAGGTGTGCGACTTAAAATTTCTTTTGTGTCTATGTCTTGTGGACTTGTTCTGGGTGGGCTGCAGGTCTGAGATTGCACCCTGCTCCTCTACCTTGATATTTTCCTGTGTGCCTGTGAATCTGCAGGTTGTTAATTCCCAAACGTTTCCTGCACTTGAGCCCACACTGTGGTGCCGGGATTGGCCTGGGTTCCTGAGATCCAAGGTTCCTGGGGCAGGGGAGAGGTACAGGACAGCTGCTCATCATATTCCCCCAATGGAGGCCGCACCCTGGGCGCATGGCTTCCTCTCTTGTGGGCCTACGGTGGGCTCAACAGGGAGCAAGTTTTTTCTTTCTAATAAATTGAACATTAGATTTCTAAAATTCCAAAATTGTCAACAGATCATAGAAAGATACCACTTTAGATTCCTGCTTGAAATCAAAAGCTTCAGAAAACTGCTGGTCTTGATTCAGGTTCATGAGATTTTATTTTTCTTAAAGCCTTGACTATATCTACAAACAGGGAAAAGAAGTTATCTTTTGCTAATTTTTAATATTCTAACAAGATAAAGCAGTTCTTAAAATATCTAAATACATTTGTTGTGGGCTCAATATTCATGAGCTATGTTCATCCCAAATTCATTTGTTGAATTCCTAATACAACCTCAGCCTGTTACTGGGTTAGGAGATAGTGCTTTCAGAGTAATAATTAAGTTACGTGAGATTATTTAGGTGGTTCCTAATCCAGTGTGACAAGTGTCCTTATAATAAAAGGAGGTTGGGACACAGACCTACAGAGGAAGTATCAGAAGACAACAGAGAAAACAGCCATAAACAAGCGGGCCCTCCAAATATACGTACCTGCTGACACCTTGATTTTAGACTTTAGCCTCTAAATAGATAGAAAAACAAATTTCTGTTGTTTAAGTCATCTGCACTGTGATACTTTACTACTGTGACCCTAGAGAATTAATACAATATAATATAAATTGCTTTAATGTGTAAACTGAGGATTGCATGTAAGTCATTCATTTATAAACTAAGGTAGTATGTATTTTGTTGATTTAGGAGAAAATGTTTATATGTATTTTTCAGGAATGTATTATCAAAATTGGCTATCAAGAATGCTAAAAATTTTCCCTTACAAGTATGCAAGACCTTCTTGAAGGGGCAATTAAGTCAGGAAATATGAAAATGATTAGTTATTATGAAGTGGAGTGCTTATTATAAAAATACTAATTAACCAGGTATATTGGTGCATACCTACAATTCCAGCACTCTAAGTGGCTTGAAGCAAAAGATTATAAAGTTTGGCCCAATCTGGGCAATTTGGCAATTTAGAGACACACTGTCTCAAAGTAAGAAATGGCTAGAAATGGGTCTCAGGCTTTGGGTTCACTCCTCAGTAACATGGATTAAATAAACAAACAGTCACTGTCACATCTCCAGGGCATGATTAATTGAACTTAAATTATACTACATGTTTTGGAATGAATATACAGTTCATAATGTAAAATATTTGTAAATATTTCTTCTGAATTGATAATTGCCAGAGGTTTTACTGGTAGGTGCTGTAGAAGGAACCTTGATTTACAAGCATGAGCATCCGGGTTCTGGTTGAGATTTCCTCACCTGTGGAGTGTTGGGCACTGAATTTGTGCTCCTCAGATCTCAGTCTCCATCTGTTAGCTGTGGGAGTGCACTAGCCTACAGGACCTTGCAGATACATTCTATTATTAAAATTCACTGTGTCCCAAACATAGTGAAAAAATTTCATGCCTATAAGATTTTTGGTGGAATTTAAAGAAACCTATGGAAGTACATGTTTTGAAAGTCAAAGTCAATATTTAGAAAGAAAATAGCTTTCCTTCCAAACTTTCAAGGTTTCAGCGCAGGCATTATAAAATACAATTTCTGCATTTTCCCTCTACTTATTTTATCCATATTTTCTTCTCCATGGTATCCATGTTGTACATTATTGTAAAATAGAGCTAGCTTCTGATTGATAATATGAAAAATGCCACATAGTCTTACAGCCCAAATAGATTGTCATGGCAACTGATGACATTTCTATCCTGCCCAGTATATTAGAGTACACAGTCTGTGTGTCTCTGCAAACTATTTCATGTTATTTTTGTTGTGAAAAAGTGAGACTAATAATTTTGTGGAAGTAGGAAGTCATCCAACTTGCATCCTCATGTTATAGATTTACTTTAGGCAAGGACAGTGTCTTTCTAACCAACCCTATGTTTTGGATTAAAGGAGGCCCTTAATAAATGATTTTGAATAAAAAATGAATAAATATCAGAACATAGCTTGCTTATGTATGATCCTAGCATAAAACACTTAATTAATTTGCTTTGCCAAAATTTTATTGTGCATAGCATAGTATGTGTCTGTCATTTTTGCTAGACAATATCTACTTACACCTCAGTATCCTTCTGAGGCCTTCCCTCCAACTCTTTGTTAGTGGTTGCATTTAAAGTCACTCTTTCCTGAGCTACAGGAGTAAACATATAAGACTGACCAATGGGAGCTTCATATTCATGTGACCATAGTAATTGGTTCAAGGATAAACATAAATCAGTTATACTGAGACACACTATTGGTAGTGCAAAATCCTATTTAACTGATTTTAAATGAATATTCATTGACCTGTGGGAAAACAGATCACCATCACTGGAACCTGAGGTCATTGTGAAACAGAATAGAGTGAAAAAATGGGAAGCGACTAAGCCTCAGTACCTTGAGTCCCTCCTAAATCTAAAACTTCCTTTGGACTCACCAACTTTGTAAGCCACTTAACTCTTACTGTTTAAGACAATAAAACATTTCCATAGAAAATGTACTGATCAGGGCTAGGGATTTAGTTCAGCGGCATAAGTACCTGCCTTGCAAGCAAGCAGTCGTGAGTTCGATCCCCAGTATTGATAAAAAAAGGAAAAAAAAAAAAAAAAAAAAAAAAAAAAAAAAAAAAGAAAAGAAAAGAAAAGAAAATGCACTGACCACAAGCTTTGAGTCATGGAGAAAAGAATCCTGGTCCATGGACCAACTCTTGGCTATTTGACTTTAGACAAGTTCCTCTTTGAAATCTGATGCCAGTTATCATAGATCTTCCTATTTCCTATGGTTATTAAGTGGACCAAACTGGAAAATATATGTTTGACGTGTTTTGTAAAACATAAAACCATCCTTCTGCTTTTACCTATTAAATTTTTGACAGTGGGCACTGAACGTAATGGCAAAGAGTGTATTAATTGGCTGTTGCCAACTCTATGATACGTGGATACATATTTTAGTTATTTTTGTTTAGGATCTGAAGGAAATCATACTATGCCAAACTGAGTGAAAAGATGCTGAGTGAAAGGAATTTGAAAACACTTTTAGAAAGTTCTTATTTTATACATATTGTCAAAATGTTGAATGAGTGAGAAAAAATGTCAATAAATATTACTCATTCACTAATTAGGTGTTCTGTGCTCTGTTACACATATTTCATCCTTTTATTCTTCACAACAACGACATGCGGAGGTATGATTATTTCTGTTGTGCAGATAAAGAAACTAAAATTTGAAGACAATGGAATAAATTCCACAATGTCATACAAGGGATGGGCAATAGAGGTAGAACATAAACCAGTCCATCTACCTCCAAAAATCGTTCACTCTTTTTGTTTTTGACACAGGGTCTCACTATGTAGCCCAGGCTGGCCTTGAGCTCATAGGGATCTTCCTGCCTCAGCCTCCTAACTGCTGGGTTACAGGCCTGTACCATCAGGCCTGGTTTAACTTTTTTCTTAACCCAAATGTTTAGAAAGAAATGCTGGTACAGGTGAACCTTCCTCATTATTATGCTGAGTTGTTCTGCTAAGCGATGTGGTATGGTTAAATTGGAAAAAGAAAGGCAAAAAGCAGTAGCCCAACAGTCATTCTGGGTTCTGTTTAAATCTAGAAAAGTTACATCATCATTCCGAGACTCTACTAGGACTGCCTGCAGTTTTCAACTTATTCAAGTTTTAAAAATTTAAATATAAAATAGATAAAATACATGTCCAGTAACTACCATATTGATCAAGGAAGTTCCAGCCTTTTGCAATTATAACCCCTGAACTAGACAAGAAATATAAATGGAGTTTATATATATCGTCATATATTTCCTTGAGAAATTAAAAATGAAAGACAGAATAAACCAAAAATGACTAGAAGAAGATAATAAAGATCAGAAAACACAATCCCTTATCAAAATGCCAACATCATTTTTCATAAAGATTAACATTTGGATTCTTACATTTCTGTAGAAATACAAAAGACTCAATAGTCTAAAGAACTTTGACAAAGGAACAAAAATAGAGCTCCATCTCTCCCCAATCCCACAATTTATCACAAAATTACACCAATCATGACAAAATGGTGTTTATTTCAACATAGACAAACCACCGAAGTACTAATATGAAATCCCAAAATAGATACCCACATAATAGACAATTGATTTCTGGCAAAAATGAAAAAAAAAAAAACTATTAAATGGAGAAAAGATTGTACCTTCAAAAAATATACTGGGATAACTGGCTACCCACATGTAGAAACCCCAAAGCTTATAGCATATCAAAATTTTCTTAAGCCATCCAAAAGTCAACTCAAAATGGCTCACAGGTTAGTTAAAGTAAAGGCAAGTGTGGCCTGAAGGACATGGCTTTAGTTTAAGAGACTAATGCAACATACACAGGTGCATGTATGTGGGACAAACCTTTGTGTGATGAATAGAGAGACTAAAGAGAGAGTACCCTGTTAGAGCAATCTTAATATACTATAGAGAGTGACATTCTTGGAGACCCTATCAAAGGAGAGAGATTACAGCAAAAATGCTATGTTGTATTTACAGATAACCCTCAAATAACCTCACTCTCAGCACTGGTTTGGATTGCTCTCGGAATGTGAATTTCACGCTTGATGTAAGTCATCTCAAAACTCATGGAAGGAATTTGGGCAGAGGAAAAAAGATTAGTGTAATCTTCTGGCCTCTTCTATTCTAGCATCTCAAGCATCTCTCTGCTCCTTCTCTATCCACGTTAAGGGTTTTAAGCTCCACTTTCTTATTTTCGTTCTGGGATCTTTTCCCCAGCTGTGGTGTGGCAGGCCACAATGGGGGAAGCATAGCAATGTCTTGGCTGCTTGTTTTTAATTGGAAAATCTTCAGAATACATGGAAGAAATTTTTAGCCTTAACTTTGAATGGGTTAATGTGGCTATTTCCTGATGAAGGTTCTCAAAATTATACCAAAGGTTATTAAAAAAAAAGAAGAAGAAAAAATTCAAAATGAAATCAAGTGAGTTTGTCGAGGCCCAATTCACACTGCAAAGAAGTGATTTATGATTGTCATGAAGTGGATGTTGCTTTGGGTCCAAACTTGTTTTAGAGTTGGGCCAGGTATTTACAGTGTGTACCTATTGGCCGGGGGAGCCAGTCTGGCATCTATTTGCA